CCTGTAGAATTAAGAAATAGCTTAGAGGCTTAAAACTGAACTTGTCTTCTAACTAGAAGAAAATATTTAAACATCAAATGAAGGCAGAAGTTATTGAAGATCCAGTCTAGTTGACATGAAGTTTTGAAAAGTTGCATACTTGAGGGGGATGGCTTTTGTAAAACTTGATTTCCACAGGGAGCTCATGGAAGTAGCAACTTCCATCTTACATCTTTTTCTGAAATATCAAAAGGGATCCTGTTTTTATGAAGTGTTTTTCCCTAACTACTATAAATGCTTTGAACAGTGATCCTTGATCGCACCTAGAGAAGACTGCTTTGAAAAGGAATAAATAATTCGAAGAAATCAAGTATTAACATTTATTTACCTGTTCTCCAAGCTGTTTCAGTTTGATTAGTGTAGTTCCTTTGTATTTTATTTGGCTAAATCATTAAGTGAAGGGTAGAGTAAAACGTTGTGGTTTTTAAACAGGCCTGGGCCTGCAGAATCTCAGGAATAGCTGTGCTTTGCCTCTTTCACTTAATGTAAGCATGTCATTGTGTGTTACTTTGGTTCTACCTTACATGCAAGTTCCATCCACACCATTTCCTCCAAAACCACAATGTGATACACAAGGAGTTTAAGAGATCCTGGTACTTGAGCCAGTCTACACTGACCTCTTTTAACTAAATACAATATTCCATTTAGCATAAATACGAATTTAAGTTTACATGTCCTCATTTGTGTGTCCCTGGATTTTATTTGACAGCAGGCAAACTATTTTGTCATTAAAAGTTGTAACGTTTTCCTGTATTTCCCTTTATAAAGAAGAGGCAGAAATGTTACATATCAATGTTTGTAGTCCATTATCGTGACTTTTTGATACCTTTGTTAATACACTGTATTAAGGCAGTTAAACAGTGCTGTAATAGTTGCTGGAGAAATGGCTGAAGACATGCAGATTATATAGCCTTCAGATAATGTTGCTTCCTCTTATTTTCTAGCTAGAAAGAGTCTTGTAAAGTACTTGCTTTTTCAGAAGATAGCAACCATAATTACATCTGTCCGATTCTGGGGGATTATTTTAATGTTGTTTCTAAATTATTCCAAGCACGCCACAATTAAATTCTTTCAGCGGTTTGAATTGTCCTTTAATACAATTAATTGGAAAATTGATCAAATCACAGACTTGTTTTAGTTGTTTTGAGCCCAAATGAGTGTAAGATTACAAGAAGAATAAAAGGTTCTCTCTGATCCAAGATGCTGTCTTCAGCAGTGGTTGATAGTAGATATTTAGGGAAGTAAAAAAATCGAGGCAAGTACGTAGCAATGATTGTGTAAAATATTCTCCCAGCCTTCAGTGGTTTGCTGTTGACGGATACGTGTCCATCTTAAAATGACTTTAAA